TTCAATGATTATTCCCAACTTCTTTTCAAAGTGAAGTTACTTCTATCTTAAAAACAAACTACCACTGTCTCCTTTTCAGTCTACTCCCTTGAAAGAGTAAATTCTACTTCTTTACCTCCTGCTCACCTTTCTGCCCTTCCTACTACTCTAAAAAACACCAACTGACAAAACTTCCAGTAAAATCATAATGTCCAAATCTAATGAACTAGGTGACATCTCAAACAGCATTCAACACTGTTAACTACTTCTACTTACCCCCAAACAAACCTACTTAATTTTCTGTGCTTTGTAGAACACATGAAAGATACCTGAGTTAAAAGATAAAATCATCAGTACCACTTAACCATAATTAGCATCTTATTTCCTTCAAGTCCCTTTTTCTATATATTTATAAGTATGGAAAATTGGGATATTATAAATATATATTTTGGGTTTTTTCTTTTAAGCATCTTCCCTTGGCATTAAACAGATGTTTTAGAGACAATTATAATCATTGCATAATGTGTTATATAGATGTACCATACTTTATTTAGCCTTCTGCTACTGTTGACATTCAGCTAGTTTTCAATTTTCACTAATATATCTAGGTCTCAGATTCTTATTTCTTAATGGGAGATTCCAAGAAGGGAAAGTACTAGGTTCAGGATATGAAGTTATAAACATTCATGATACAGACTGTGTAATTACTTACAAGGAAAGGTAATTTATATTCCCATAGCAATGCATGAGTATCTGAAATTTATCATTCTCTTGCTAACACTGTATTTTTTTAAAAAATCCTTTCAGTTTGATAGGTTCAGATGGAATCTCTTAGCCTTGATTTGCCTGAATAGTAGTGAGATTACACATTAATCACTCTTTCTTCCTCACCTTAGCCTACTAGTTCCCTTACTTCAGAATATTCCTTTTCATTCTCCTTCTCAGGCTTTTTTCTATTCCAGAGTATTTTGTACTCTGCCCCTTGAACGTCCCACAGACAGCTCAAACATCCTAAGCTTGCTTCAATTTCTGGCTAATGATATCATCAACCACCCAGGCACCCTAGTCAGAAACCTGAGTCTTTTAAGATGACTCCCTCCTCTCATCCCCACATCAGTTACTAAGTTTTTCCAACCCACATGTTAAATCTCTCAAATATGTCCACACCTCTCTATCTCCCCAGCTACGGCTCTCATCCAAGCCTTGGTTACTGGAATACTCATCACTGATCTCCCTGCCTTGTCACCCTGCTCCATTCCATTCTATATACCGCTTCCAGAGTATCTCTTTTTAAGATTTATTTGAGAGAGACAGAATGTGTGTGTGGTGGGGCAGGCAGAGGGAGAGAGAGAGTTCCAAGCAGACTCCCTGCTAAGCATCAAGCCCCCCGGGCTTGATCTCAAGACCCTGAGACCATGACCTGAGCTGAAACCAAGAGTCAGTCGCTCAACCGACTGAGCCACTCAGGTGCCCCCAGAGTGATCTTTCTAAAATGCTTATCTGGAGCACCTGGGTAGCCCAGTCATTTAAGTGTCTGACTCTTGATCTCAGCTCAGGTCTTGATCTCACGGGTTTGAGTTCAAGACCCACACTGGGCTCCATGCTAGGCATGGAGCCTACTTAAAAAAATGAGAATAAAATGCAAATCTGATTGTGTTATTCCCTGGATTCTACATCCCTATCCAACTTTATCCCTTGCCCTTACCATCTGTTCCCTTCTCTCCAGCCATATGGAACAACTGGAATTCCCCACTGCCTCTAAACTCCTTTTGCCAAGAGTATGCCTCTTTTGTCTTGTGAACTCCTACAATAATAACGGAGCCTATCCAAGTTATCATCCCATCATCTCTCTCTCCTTTATGCACTGATTACACTTTATATAGAGCTATGTTATGACACATTACAATTTCATAATTTTTTAAAAAAGATTTTATTTATTTGAGAGAGAGAGAGCACGAGCTGGGGCAGGGGGAGAGGGGCAGAAGGAGAGAGAGAAGCAGGCTCTCAGCTGAGCAGGGAGCCCCACACGGGGCTCAATCCCAGAACCCTGGGATCATGACCTGAGCCGAAGGCAGATGCTTAACCAACTGAGCCACCCAGATGCCCCTGAATAAATGCTATTTTTGATAGCGATTATAAAATTCCTTTCAATCTTCTCCCACCATCTAATCATTCACCAAGTTCTATAATCTCAATCTATCTGCTATCTCTGTTACCAGATTCTCCTCCATTTCCAATTTCTAAGGTTGACAAAACTATTTTTTAATTGCATCCTGAGACTTGGGTGCTTCTCCAAACCAGGCCATCTTCACTAGAGCTGACAGTTATCTTTCTGAAACACACCTGGTTTTGTTACCTACTTAAAAAAACAACTTTGATGACTACCCATTTTGATTGTAGTTGGTTATTTCCTCAAAACATGGAAAGCTTGTCTATTGAGAGTTAAAAATAAAGGAATGCACAGTGGAAGGAGACACAATTCTCACTAAATCCAGGATTTTGATTACTTAAACACTATAGCATAGTATATAATAACTTTAAGAATCCAACTCCAGTACGCTTTTTAGCTCTATCTCCTATCACTCTTCCTCCTAATCCTCAACACACATCCTGGTTACCATTCTTAATGCACTGTTGTGTCTAGTATTCTGTATCACCAAGCAAATTCTTACTCATCCTTGAAAGCCAGCATCTGGTTACCTGGTTGCTCCAAGAGATAGTATAAAGGGGCTTTAGACTGTTTACATAATTTTTATCAGTCCTCCAAAGCAAGCCAAATCAAAAATAAGATTTTTTTTGGTATGGACAATTGGACTGTTTGCAACTTCATATAAACTATGTATAAAAGCATCTTTTAAGGACATTTCTATTTTTATTGATCTATAACATACAATCGAAGTAAAAGCAAAGTACTTTCTATACAAGTACATCTTCAAGCTAAGTCCCCTGGCCTACACTTCCAACTAGACTGTAGCCACTAAGCCCTTTATAGAAATTCTGAAGGAGTCACAGGCTATTAGTTGCTCTAAGAAGCTTTCTCTAATCTCTTTCTGACAAGCTGTTTGTAGCTTCTCCTTCTGGGCTCACACAGCTCTGACCATATACAACTGTTATCTTACCAAATAATAGTATAGTTGTGTTATTTCTCTTTTAGCTTCTTCCACTAGGGTAGCTAATCCAGGGTAAGGACTCTATTATCAGTTTCCTCATGGGTAAAATAAAGATGATAAGAAGACAAATCTCATATAATTATTGTGAGAATCAAATGTTAGTGCATATTTAAAGCACTTAGCACAGTGTCTAGCATATAATAGGAGCTAAATAAATGTTAGCAATTATTTTTCCCTTTGTGTTTGTTAAATCATGAAGTACTACCCCGAAGAGTCCCACAGCAAACAGACTGGTAGATGCACAAAAAGCATAAGAAAACACACGTCCTGAAATTACCTAAGAGGTCACTACTTAAGCAAAATGCCTTCCCGATTACCTATTTGCAGATGTGACATGAAACTGAATGGCTTTTTAATGTATAGTAGTTTAAGAAGAAAGTTTTTAAGACCTTAGACCTGGGAGAGAAATTTCATTTATAAAGTTTTGAATTTCTGAGTTATTTATTAAAAAGAACACATAAAACAATTTCACATTTGGAGAAAAGGAAATAACACAATGTCTTGGGAATTGGCACTGTTTCTGACTATCATACATTACTTCTTTATATTACAAACTATCTATAAATATACTTGCTCTCAGGCTTTATGATAAAAATCAAATGAGCATGTTGTGTGGTAGAAATAACATCAAATTAAAATTAAGGAATACTAGATTCTAGCCCACGAATTAGCTGTGGGACCCTGGGCAATCTTTTAATTCCTCTGGGCTTCAGAGTTATTTTTTGGAATTTGAAGGGATTAGACTAATCTCTAAATTCCCATCCGGCTTGAAAATACAATGTTCTTACAATGCTATATTTTATCCTTTCTCTTACATGGTTTCCCCCCTCACTAGAAACTGAACACCCTTTTTGTGAGTGGGAAACAGGAATCAAACCTTATTTATCTTTGTACCTCAGTGCATAGAACCAATGCCTCGTTTCTTGACTGAATGAATGAGTGCACCCTACAGAGCTTCTAGTTTAAAAAGGCATAGCAAATTTATGGTATAACAGGTTAGTGGCTAATGTTAATACAATTATGTTATTATACAACAATAACAAATGATTGTGCATTAATATGATTGTGGATATTCAATATACAGATTCATTCTATTGTTAATTTGTTGAAAACCGTTATTTTAGAAAAGGAAATCTAAACCAAAAGGTTTCCTTACTTTTGACATATTTTAGAGAAATTATGTGTTAGTTACATAGTTGTTTTTTTTTTTTTCAGTTACATAGTTTTGAGAGAGGCTAATTCTACTAAATTTCATCATCCTAAGAGCAGTGTCCACTTATATCAAGCAGGTGTCCAAGCGATCACTCTCCAGTACCATTTCGTAGAAAAGATTTTTATCTTTGCCTTGCTACCAAAATTACAGACTGAAAGACAATGTGATCAAGGAAATAAGGAACTAGAGTATATAGACACATGGAGAAAGCAAGCATACATGTGTGTGTGTGCACATATACACACACACAGTTTAACTCAGTAACTCAAATGCCTCATGTACCCATTTTAAAATTAATATTTAGTGCAGGCTTACTGCTGGAACAGTTTCAAAATATCTCTAATATGGAATGGAAAATGAAGAGTGATTAACTATAAAGTCTATATAGGTGAAACAAATGGACAGTTATCCCACTTCTTTTGAACAAGGGCAGATGTCTCTCTCTGGATATACCCCAAAAAGAGAGTTACAAGGGATTCCATTTCTCTGTTTCAGTATCAATGTGACTGAAATTTGAAGTGCATTTACTTCACAATTTCCTGGACCTGAACTGTTGGGAAAGTGAAGGTTTTTTCTAATATTCAGCTATCAGGCTCAATCTGAGTTTGAATGGTACTCACTGATTAACTCTACATAAATTGACACAAGCACAATAAGTTTTTTATTGTTAAATTACTGTTACCATATGCAGAGCAAAAAGTAAAGGGGCTGATCTACTTGTGCATTAACATTTTAAATTCTTGAATTATAAACAAGTGAACAAATGATCAGTTAGGAAAGGAAAACTGAAGGGTTTCTTTATAAGTCTACTAATTTCTCTAATAATAAAACATGCTCAAAAATTTTAGAAAAACACCTTTTTCTACATATGATATATTAATAAACAAATTATGTTTACCTCAATAAACTGTAAAGACTCCCTCAATATTAAGGACAGTCTATCTCTGGCTAATGCAATTATTATTTAGATATAATATAAGCATCAAAAAATAAAGTGGTAGCATAGTTCAAAATTTTCCAAAGTGTTCATACTCTTAATGCTGAGTTTCCAGTTCCAGAATTGTCCATTCCCCTTGGGGTGAACAATCTTCCGAGGAAAAACTAGCCATGGTGATGCTTGCTGAGGAATCATCAAGGGGAGAGGTTAGTTCACTCCATCTGTTCAAAGTGTCAACATGTGCTTTACCCTGAGGTTTTGAGCTGTCTCGTGCTAAAAGTAGTGTCTGATTGATTAGATACTGTGCTAAATTTAAGTCTTCAGGAACAGAATTCGTAATATTTAAGTTTGAATCCTGTTCAGAGAGCAGTTGCTTTAATAGTGTCCAATCTTGTTCTGCAAAGTGCTGATCATCTTCAAAATCCATGTCTGTAACATGTGTTTCTGATTCCATTTTCTGCTCAAATGCTTCTATTACATCCATCTCATATATTGGAGAGAGGGTTTTTGAAGGCCGATGGTCATACATGTAGGTTTGTGCCAGTGTGTCACAATCATCTATGTTTCCTGAAATAATTCATAATACTACACAATGTAAAAATTGCACATGTTGGTACCCCTCAGAGTTTTGTAGAACAATATTAAAACAATATAATAGGTATAGTCCAAAAAAACAGAATGGAAAAAATAACACTTATACAAAATTGACAAGATTATTGAGGCATTTCTTTTTCTATATTAAAAAAAAACAAAAAACAACAACCGAAGGATGTTTAGCAGCAAAATCAACATAGGCAACTAACAATAATTCTCCATACTTTAATTTGAAAACTTGTGATACAGAAAACAACAAAAATTATTTAAACATAAACATAGAATGTGCACATGTATCTAATTCACTACAATATGAAATTAAAGAGAAAAAAGACATGGTTATTTGATGGTGACTTTAAGTCAGTTCCAAAAGGGGAATAAATACATTTTATCTAAAGCCTTATTTGTATATTGCACATGCAAAAGAGGATGCAAGCAAGGACAAACAAAAAAATACAACTTTAAAGAGCTCCCTATTGTTGTGATTTTGCTGAACAAGGGCTATTGATCAGCGTTTTTCTTAGTTCTGATATACAATAGCTATGCAGGCAGCCACTACTGCATATTTTAAATGTGGGTCATTAGTTTAAATTACTATAATAAGGAAGACAAACACACAAAACAATTAGACAGGAAATCATCTATGCATATGAAATAAGCCTGGGCTTTTTTCATATATTATCGTTGCTTCTAAATATAATCTCTTTTAGGAAATTTATCTTTTTACTTGAAAATTTTAGAATTATAGTGATCCTCAAAGTCTTAATCTCTGTAAAATGCATATAAATTGTAATAATTAATCTAGTTAAAATAGTTCAGTGCTTTTAGTTATATTACTATAGTTATTGCACAGACCTCTTAGATATATACTAGCATAGTCCATAAAACATATCCAATGTATAATAAAATTTCTAATAGTCAAGAATTCTATGTTAAATTAGACATAAATAAATAGCAAACTAAGTTTTTCTCTTTATTCTTTCATGTAAAATCTCTTAATAGTTTAGCTCTAATAATAACCAAAATTTTACTAGATCTTAACTCTGCACTAGGATTTTAAGGGAACAATAAAGATTAACTAGCTAGTTTTCATATTATTAAGAAATTTAAGTCTTCATTTGAAATTTGTATCTGTTGCTTAAGTAATTATTCTAAAATAAAACATTCGGGGCTACCTACAACTTTAAAATTCTATAAACTCATTTTCTTATGGATTTAGCATTTCTATTTCTGTACGTTACCTGCAGATAAAGCAATATTAGCTTTTTTGGTAGCTGTAGAATGGTTCTCTTTCACTTGACCTTCCTGAGGCAGAAGTTGACTCCGACAGGAGTCCAGAAATTTTGTAGAGCTGTTCTTTGGTATGTCAGAATTGGGTTCTCTTTGATGAAGCTCCAAATGACATGGTCTTTCTTGAGATTTTATATCATTATCTGAGAGTTTGCTATGTTGCTGAAAGTCATTATCTACATTGCTTCCCCTGTTTACTTGTTTATCTTCTGGAAGAAGCTGTCTGCCTCCTTTGGACAGGACATCTACTGTGAACTTTTTTCCTGTGACTGAAGCACTCTGTTTATCTTTTCTTGATGAGTCAATGCTGCTGGGACCCAAGAGAGAGCTTTCGTTTTTATATACGCTATTGCCTTTATCTTGTTTACATTCTAAAATACTACCTTCATATCCTTGTGTGTACCTGGAATAGCATGTCTTTCCATGATGTTCATGAGAAATGCCATCAAAAACATCAGAAGGTGAAAGAGAATCTACAGAAGGCTGAAAGGCAGTATGGGCTTCCCCTTCATCAGATCCTAGTTCTTCACATTCATCTACTGAAAGTAAGACTGATCTTTTAAAATTTTTAGTTGCAGAAAACTCGTGATTTTCATTTTCTGTTGCATCTTCGAAAGCCAAATTAATTATTCCCTGAAACTGCTGAGGAGCTGAGTTAGATGTACAGAAATTTTCTCCAACATTTTCAGCTTCAGATCTTTCATCTTCTGTTTCATCTGCTGAGGAAGAAACTTGATCTACTTCTTGAGCAAAATGGACACTGCCTCGTAGAATATTTTCTTTTTCCCTAGGGTGGACTACTGTAGATCGAGACCAAATTTCTGGCCGTTTCCTAGGAATCTCGTCATCACTTGTCGAATTAACTTGGAAAAGATCATTACTACTTTGCTTTTTCATTTTCACCTCAATTCTTAAGTTACTGTCATATATTTTTAATTCTTCAGGAGTACTGGTATCACTGCTACTTCTTCCAAGAAAATCATGGCACAACATAGTGCCACATTTAGAAATACCTCTGTCATTTGACCCATCATCATCCTGAGACCCTCCAGCATCATAGTCTTCAGATCTGGGCTTTATGTCATCAGAGGATGTGGTGGCACTGCCAGTGTCAGATTCAGGACTCTCTCTCTGATGCAGACCACTGGTACTCAAATTCCAGTGGCTCAGAAATGGAACTTCTGGAGTTTCATGGCTCTCTGGAGTTTCTGTTGTTTCCATATCTTTAGGAGAATTTTTTCCTGATATTTGTTCCAAAACACACTTGGAGGAAACATCTGAGTCTGCTGTAGCATGTTTGATTTCAGTCATAGCAGAGTCATCAGACAAGTGACTAGGAATTTTCTGTTCTTCTACATGAATTTTAGATTTTCTGTCATCTTGGACAGAATTTAAGGTACCATTTGTCCTTTCAGGAACACATGGTAAAACATCTTTGACACATTTAATGCTTAATCTTTTGTTTATATCTTGTTTCCCTCCTTGCTTCTCCCTATCTGATATTGAATGGATTTGCTCTGCATTTGCTGAGTCTAAATCACAAACAGGATTAGAGTTCAAGGAGTTTTCACTGGGATTTGAAATCATGGATTTTAGGACAGTGGTGTTATAAAATTTTGGATCTGCATTATCACTCCCATCAGAAAGGCAATGTATTTTAGCTGTGTTGTGATGATCTGATTCTTCGCTGAAAAATTTTGTTTCACTTTTATGTGAACAAATCCGTTTTGACTCCAGTTCATGCTTTATTGATTTATCCAGATTTGAAATAGTTTGGCATTCTAATACTAATTTCTCTTTCTCTTGATTGCTTAATGGCTTTTGTGGGTCAGGTTTGCATGATGCCTGGAATGCTTCTCTACTGCTGATTTCTGATGTGAGATTAATAATTAGAGGTTCATGAGGCTTCTGTTCAGAAATATCATCCTTGTTATTATTATCATGTACATCATGAAATATATTTTCTTGGACAACACATGTTTCACTTTTTAAAGGTCTTTGAGAAGAAGGCTGAGTTTTCAATATAACCTGTCCAGGAAATGTTTTCTGTTTTGAATCTTTATTACTCAAAGTTTCACTTTTCTTAGACTGATTTAAGTTTTTAGACATTGCTGCTATTTTTGCATTAACCCTAGGCAAAGGTGTGTGTCCTTGCTTGACAATTTTTTTCTTAGATGTTTGTTTATCTGTAGTTGTATTGTGGTTCAATTTTGTCACATTTTCATCAGACTGCCTTGAAGAGACTGAAGATTTTACTGACTTTGGTGACTCTCCTTGAGATCCTAATAAAAGAAAATTAAAAAATATAATGTACTTTCCAGTTTGTAAATGAAATGCAGTATCTGTTTTTAAATTACATTAGAAGAAATAAAACAATGAAATGACATATCTATGACAATGGACAAAAGATTAGGTGTTAGTAACATGATAAAATAAAAAATATTTTATTATAAATATAGGGGGACTATTCCAGCATCTTAGCAAAATTACTTAAATAGGCTCTTTCTTCCTCAAGAATCTTGATCCTTATGCCAGAATTGGATTTGCATAAATAAATGAGGGTGGAAAAATCCGCTTTTCTTATATCAAAAGAGCAGGAAGGGTCTTCCCTTCGACGTTTTTGGGGAAAAAAAAGACTGTTCCACACAGCTGAAAGAAGGATCAAGCTAAATATAAAATAGAAATGTTGAAATTACTGTTTTTTTTCTGTCAAACATGAACAAAACTAATTTACTTCTCATAACAAGATCATTATTATTGTAGATCATTTGGGTTAACTACTTAGATGTGCAGTGGAAACTAAAACTGGTAATTGGAGGGCAAGGATTAATTTTGAGAATCTATTTGTTTACACTGGTTGAGTCCTAGAGATGATAATTAAAACTATCAAACAGAATTGCCAAATCTTTTTAAATGTTTAATTTTTAGTTATTACTAGAATTAGAACATGAATAATTTTTCTCTGGCTTATTTTAAAATTTGCTTTCAGTATTAATTCATTATCAAACTCAAAATTGTTTTTAGGTTTTTACATACTGCTCTTAACCTACATGAATGCTTAGTGCATAAAGCAAATTAATTTATTAAGTCAGCAAAGTATGCAACCTGATCAGTATGCTTTTCTTTCTTAGAACATGGCAAAACAACAGGCACAGCACAGAAGGAAAATTCTTCTTCCTATATATCACAGTTCTCATGACTGTACCATTACTTTTTTTTTTATGTTATGTTAATCACCATACATTACACATCATTAGTTTTTGATGTACTGTTCCATGATTCATTGTTTGCATATAACACCCAGTGCTCCATGCAGAACGTGCCCTCTTTAACACCCATCACCAGGCTAACCCATCCTCCCACCCTCCTCCCCTCTAGAACCCTCAGTTTGTTTCTTACTTTTTTAAAGGGCTCTAATATTAGTGCTGGTTTTGCACATGGAATTCCTATAGTTATCAATGAAACTGAAGAAACCTGGGCATAATATATAAAAGGACCAAAAATACAGATAACTTAGTGACTCCCTTAATTATTTCTCATAAAAGACAATAAAAACCAAACCCACACCCTGAAATACCAAAATACTTATCTAGGGGCACCTGGGTTTCACTCTTGGTTTTGGCTTAGGCTCAGGTCATGATCTCAGGGTCCTGAGATTCATCTGCCCGCCTCCTCCCCAGCTCTGCCCTCCAGAGCCTACTTGGGACCCTTCCTCTGACCCTCCCCCTGCGTGCAGGCCCATGCTCTCTCAAATAAATAAATCTTAAAAAAAAAAATTATCTAAAAGCAAAAGTGTGTAAAATCTCTATAGTATTACACAAATGTAAAATGAGTGAAACCATGTTCTATTCTTATTTGTTGCTAAAGTTCCAAATCAGAGTTCTGCTTATTCAATTTAAACACAGAAGTAATACCCAGGATTATATCAGCTTTACCTTGAGTTTTAGCAAGATTAGATGAGGCATTTTTTGTCCTCTGTTGAGCTGTAGCACATCCACTGCCATTTCCTTTTTTCTTTAAAATTGCCTGTGGTACTGGATCACTATATCCTTTGCTAGTGCCCTTCTTTAGCACACTAAGAAAAATGATTTGCATTCAGTACTGCACTCAGATAGCAACACATGAACTTTTAAAAAACTCATATACAAAATATATTTTTTCTCAAAGAAATTAAAAAGTATCCTTTTTTCAAAAAATAGAAAAACCTTATGTTCACAGGTCTTTAAGTTTATAAACCTGCAGGTCAAGTATGACAAAGCAATACATAATCAAGTGCCACAAGTGTAATCTATCATTTTGTATCAATAATTTTTCATATACTATTTTCATTTAATAAAGTTTTAAAATATTGTGTAAATAAATACATTCTCTAACAAAGAAGAAAAGATATTTTTAAGATATTTAGCTAGAAGTTAGCATATAATTAACTTTCAGAGAAAGCTACTATAGAGGTAAAATAACGAATGAAGATTTACCTGCTACTTATATTAGTTTCTTCTTGAATGCCTTTTTTATTTGAATTTCCATTGGTAACTTTTGAAACGGGTCGAGATTTTACTGCTGTAAATTAAGAAAAAGTCAGTCATGAAACAGAACACTGAATATGTAAAAGTCATGCATAAATTCACTGGCCAGACACTATATCCAAAAATAAACGTTAATGTGGGAAGAAGTATGTTTTCTCTCAGTTTGCATGAGCACATGTAAATAAATGCCTTTTCGCATCTGAAACTAAATAAACATCCAAACACAGAATCATTTTTTTCTAGGAACTTTATCTGTCAGGAACTATTCAAAGTGAGGGTACTAAAACCCACCTACAGTCGAAGTTTTGGTACTTTCCACACTGTTTTTCACCGTCTGTCCTGGAGATTCACAAAAGGACAGTTTATCACCAGAAGGCTTCTCTTCTCCTACTGATCCATTTTCTTTTGGTTCATCCAGACATTCAGCAGAAATCAGCAATTCCATACTTGAATTGGTCGATCTGCTGGAAGGCCCTGCGATGCTGAGGCATGGAGAATCTTTTCCTGTCACTTTCTTCGAAGGCTTTGCTTTGGCTTGCACATTTAAGTTTCCAGTGAGTACCTTGGGTCTGGCACCTGTAATGTGCCCTTCCTGATTTCTCACTCCTTTCTCATTTAATGAATTTTTCTGTCCATTTGCTGCTGCTGCTGCTGATTTTTCCACAGCTTGTCTAGGCGACGTGTTTGTTGACTTAGCATTATCACTGTTTTCTGTTTGGGACTTTATTATAGCTTTGGGCTTTCCAGAAACATTCTTCCCCCCAGTTTTAAGTTCTTTTGTAACCTTAGATGCTGTTTTTGTACTACCCTTTTCCTTTAAATCATCATGTTTCAAGGTTTTATTTACAGTGTTTCTATTAGCACTTGAATGTCCAGATGCTCCTAATCCATCAGATTTCATCTTTTGCTTAGTAGAGGGATAACTCCAACAATCCTTCTTGATATTTCCTCTCCAAGATTTGTTTTTTATAACACCAGAGTCAGAAACTTGTCTCCTTTGCTGCAAAGAAGAAAAAAATTCTTTATAACTTGACTGAAGTCTTTGACTTATAGTACTTTGTTTCAATAAGCCAGCTTTTCAAAGAGGAGAAAGATCACATTATGATATAGGGCCACTCAAAATTTGAATTATCTTTGACCATTTGAATGTATCTTTAGTCACATTCCCTTAATTGAATCATCTGAAATACAGCATAAAAAATTAAAAGGCAATTCTTTTTTAAAAAGCCATACTATTTAGCTTTGTGAAGTTATGGTAGAGAGGTGTCAGGATGCCGTGGGTCAATGATAACAATGCCCAATATTTTTTGAGGGCCCACTCCCAGGTTCTGTGCTAAAACACTTTCATACATTATCTCACTTAATACTCACAATACTCCTATGAGAGAGCTCCTGTTGTTATCTCTGTTTCATAAACAAGAAACAGGATTAAAGCCAGTATGTGATTTACCAAGGTCACATGCTTGTAAGGATGGAAGTAGGACCTGAGCTCATGATTTACTGCTTTAAGCAGACAGTATAATGCCGGCTTATATATGGTATAATTTGAGGGACATTATAAAGATTTTCATTAAAAACTGTCTCTTCAATCCTATCCAAATGCCAGAAATTTTATCACTAAAGATTCAATCCTTGGAGCTGGGGGCTACAAGCCCCTGGGAAACGAGACAGTACATCTGAAAAGTTTGGCTTTTGGAAGAAACAAAATAGTAGTAATACAGCTCTGGCTATATGGAGAAAGTGGAGGAAAAGGGGTCCTAAAAACAGGTGAAGTAGTTAAAAAGAGGGAAAGAGGACACTTAAGACACTGAAGACAATGCGCCTATATCATTTTGGTTAGAACCAACCTTGCTATGGAAGGAAACAACATTTTAAAAAGTGGTAGGAAGTGCAGAATAAAACTGTAAGATTATATTGCCACTCTTTATGAAATACGTACCCCCCTTTGAAAAGCTGTATGAAACTGCAGAGTTCTGAGGAAAAGCCTGTGCTGTCTTCATCTTTTTAACCCTTAGAACTGTGCCTATGACATACTGGGTACTCAAAAAATGTGATGCATGTTGTCAAACCTGAGCATATATTGGTATACAGTTCAAGGGCTAATATTTCTGAATATAGAAAACTTCCATTTACATTAAAAATTTGTCTAAGATAAAGATAACATATATGGGGGGTGCGCGCGCGCACACACACACACACACACACACACAAAGTAATAAATAACCTGGCTAAGTTTAAGGAAAAGCTAGGTGTAGTGCTAATAAAGGTAATCATTAGGTTCTTATCTCTTATCTTTAATTGACTTAGGATATTTAAGAAGTCATTAACATCTCTGGGCCTCATATTCTGTATTTCTAGAGGGTGGAGACTGGTCCTACTCAGTGCAGTGTTCCAGGATTCTATGTAATATTTATAAAGTTCAAATAGGTTTGGTCCTCATTTTTTGTTTTCTTGATCAAATCTTAGCTCAAAAAATAACCTTTCTCTATTTTTAATACCTAAAACCAGGTAGAGTTCTGATTTTAGACTTCTTCTCCCCCTTAAAACTGATCTACTTAACTTACCATGTCCTTGAATCTGTCTATTTTAAATTTAGCATCATGTTATGGGTGAGATTTATGCAGTATAGAGGGTAACCATACTCCTTTAGAAACTTTATATTAACATAGTATAGCATGATGAGGATTCAATGTATACACATACCTAGGCATTCTCTAACTTACATCTGCAAAGTTTACATGTATTTCTTATATACAAATGGCCAGGTGGGAAGATGCATGCTACTGACAAATATGAGACCACATGCTATTGAGAAAAATGAGAAAAAGAGGACAACTCTCGAGAGAATTCCCCTTAGACACCCTTTTGGTTCCAGGACTATTCCTTTTTTTTTGTTGTTTAACTTTTTATTGTAGTAAAATTTACACATAATCAAAAGAAGATAGAATAGTATAATGAACCTCCCTGTACCTATTACCCAGCTTTAACAGTGATCAGCTCCTGGCCAGTTTTGTTTCATATATAACTACCATTTTATTTTGAAACAAGTCCCAGACATCATTACTTTAAGTATTCTGGTACCAGCACTCTTCTTAAATCTGTCTTACCTCATTAACCTTCTCCCACTTTCAGAAGATCTCATCTCTTCTTGTAAAACACATTTATTCATTCCATACTTACTGAGCACTTACTACATACCAAATAACTGCACATTAATTATTTCACTTAATTTTCACAACAATTCTGCTAGGTTTTATTAGTCCATTTTACAGACAAGCAAGCCCACATATGGCCGAGATAACAAATGTGAAGTCAAGGCCGCACTGTCATGGCAACTGTGCCAGGTGGCAGTGTTGCATCCCTTGTGCTTGGCTGGAGAGCCTTCTTCCTCCACCCAGCCTTCCCTCCCAAACTCCCACACACACTTTTCCTGCCCCTATGTAGGGGTAGGCAAAAACACCTTAGGCAGATAAAAAATGACGCTGAGAGGCCCCAGGAAAACTGTACCCTGCGTTTGGCCTTTTGGCCTCATGGAGGCCACACATTTTCCATTTCACTGCCTTACAAAAGCAATAAAAATCTAGGTAAGGATTAAAAAAAAAACAAAAAACTGAAGTCAAGGTTTAATTCTTATTATACGATCTCCAGCACCCATTTCAGTATACTGCCCTTCTGAGGGGAACATATTACCCTGTTTTCTTCCCACTGTGGTTAACAGTATAAACCTTCGGGCAACCTGAATGCCAGGAAGTTAAGGAAGAGCAATGAGAGTCTGTTCTCTTTCACTGTAAGGCAAGGAAAGAAGAAAAGCCTGGTTGATAACAGTGAGTAGAACAGCAGAAAGAAAGGCAGATAGGGTAATTCTTGGGGGGCCTAAAAAAACACTGGGGTAAGAGGGAACATAGAGAAAAATATCCCAAGTTACCACTTCTTAGAGTATGTTCTGTGGAACTGTACAGTATAACTAAGAATGGTCAAAGGGGAGTCTAGCAGCGTTCCTTGCTTAGGGGAAGAAAACTGTTTCACATTATAATAAATACACCAACTCATTTGTGTGTGGGAAGGGGTAAAAAAAAAAGACAAAATTTACCATCTTAACCATTTTTAAGTGGGAAGTCCAGTAATGTTAACTATATAGACCTTGGGCAACAAATCTCTAGAACTTTCTCATCTTGTAATACTGAAATTCTATACCCACTGAAAAATTGCCCTTTTCCTTATACCTCCAGCCCCTGGCAAATGCTATTCTCCTTCTTGTTTTCCTGAGAGTTTGACTACTTTAGATACCTCATATAAATACAGCAAGTAACTTTTAAAGTAAAACACAACTAACTATACTCTTGGTACTGATTGCCTTTTTCACACCAAAAATGTACTGTGTGAATTAAAATCTTAGTATAGAGAAAACTGGGCCAGCTAAAATCTTCTTTAAGAAGTAGGTTAATTAGAAAATTAGACACTGAATTAGGTCTAGAATTTTAGAGAACTTCTCATCTGTTGGAATAGCTCCAATATGTTAGTTGCCAAAAAGGTTTTCAAGGAAATAAAAAAGGCAGAATATTTCACTTCCTATGCCAGCTGGATATTAAAAATCCACATCATTTAAAAATTTATAGAATATTTGCTTGATTGAAGACTCAAAATTATTTTCATTAAGAAACAGCTTTACTTAATGAAAGAATACATTTAAACAATCACTGAAATATAAAATAATGAAATTTAAATTATTTAGCTTCTTTTTTCATTTGGACCTGTAAAATTTTAAAAGTTTACCTGAGAACTACTGAATACAGGCTTTTTGCCAAGTCTTCGATCATCACCTTTGTCAAATGCAGCTGTAGAAAGAAACAATTTATTTTTATAGGAAACACTAACATTACCATAAAAGTAGAGGGAAAACAGTATGTTAGCAGAAAAAGGTTATGTTTTAATGGAAGTAACTTAAAAAAGGCTAAAAGCAATCTAGTACACACAAATAATTCCATATTATATTTTAGAACTTCTTTTTTAAAGAACCCCATTTTCAATCTTATTTTCTGGTCTCTGGATTTTATATTATTAAAATTAATAAATAATAAGTGTAAAATCTCATGAGAGGATTCATACATTTACAAAAAACCAGAATTTTCTCAAGCTGTGAAGTTTTATTAGAGATAAATGGTTTCATTTAGTTTTCCAAATTTCAAAAAATTATGGATTGTGGCAAATGTAATATTTTATAAACCATTAAATATGAGAAAGGGTCTATCCTAAAAAAATGTAAAAATACTCTGTTGAAATTAACTACAAATATTTCCTGGTTTTGCAGAGATATCATGAGGAAGAAGGAAAGAGAAGAGAAAAAAATAAGGTCCTGTTGAAAATAAAACAAAAAACAATCTTCAAACCTATATCATTCTTCTTAGAATTAATAAAAATTCACTTTCTAGATTAGGTTTAAATGGGAATTATTGGGGAACTCATGTTTTTATGTTCTTCAATTAAGAATTTGAATGACATCAGGAAAATATATAGAAATAATGGGATGAGAGATATAAATATAGTTCAGCTAATGTATTTATTTCTTTTGAAGGTTATATTTCAAACTATTTAAAACATAATTTGAAGAAATATCATCTCCAAAATTATTTGATATTTATTAAAACAGCTGATGAAAAATATATTAAATTATATGTAACATTCCCATTGCATCTTCTACTACTTGTGTTCTATAGGATCTGTGCTATAAGACAAAGCAGGACCCTAGAAATGGTATTATAAGGACTGATTTATAATAAGCAAATGACTTTGCACTATCCTATACAAAAAGAAATTAATATAAGATTTCTCCCAAAGGTCAGTAACTCAATTAGAATATAAGAAATGCTATAACAAGGACAATCTAGAATCATTCCTTTATCTGGGGTTTCCCAATGCAGTAACTATCTGTAAGTCAGGACTCATTATAATTCAACATACTGAAGATTAAAAAAAAATATTATTACACTGATAGGATAGATTGAAAAGTTCTTTTTGACAATTAGTACAATTACCAATAACATTTTATTTTACATATGTATACATATATATGTATTTGCATGTATTTTTAATTAGCACTTTATAGAATTAAGATAAAGAACATTGTTTAAGGCACAACTTAACTATGAAATCCTCTAAAATGAAGAAAAACAAAGTTTACTACCAATCAGAAGAGAGCTGAATGACACCTCATGCAATGCCGATCTTATTTCTTCACACTGAATAGATTTTTGTAGTAAAAACTGTCATCTAAAAATCAGTATAGAAATAGTCACAAGGAAAAAAATCTCATATTCCTGAAGACCTTGCGATTTTCATTGTTTCATGATTTTGTTCTTTCATTATTTTGTTGGAATTTCTGTGAAAAGTGCTCTTCAGTTCACATCTAGCTACACTATCATGTTATGCTCATAAGGCAAGACAGAGCAAATCATATTGACTATCCCATTAAAGAATTTAACATATCTATGTACTATCAAGAATATATCACATATGGCTTTCGTGTTTTATAGTACAAAAACGTTCGTTTCCTAAAATATAGTCTCTTAAAATGTTTTTAAAAGTATACTTGCTGAATCTGCAAATATTTTTTCTAAGGCACCTGCTTTAACCCCAAAATAGTCATGAAGCCATTTTTAGTTCCACACCCTCAAAATTTTTATCTTAATATTTTTGAAACAAACATACATTCTGAGCATTACACATCTTTTGTTTAATGCTAACGTTTCAAATGGTACCTATTAAATGTCAGAGACTACTGTGAGGCTCCTGAGGGACACTCCGCAATAGCACACACCGTATCACTGAACCAATCAATTGTGAAATAAAGCCATCTAGTTTAGACAAAACCACAAGAAATGATATATTATGCAAAAGATGGAAAAGCCTTACGGCAAAATATATTTAAAAAGGAAGAGAAAGTATGTTTGGTAATATGTTCTACATGGATTACATTTTCCTATACTTCTTATCTCTTTATAAGAATGCTTTTAAGCAAATTTAGCCGGAACATTGCTGCTAATACAGAGTAGGATTAAAAACTGATAAATATATATATAAAGGAATGTGATATGATAAATACATCTATAAAGGAAATGAATCATTTTCCAAGAACAGCAAAGCATGATTTATTAAAACTGCCTAAACATACTATCACTAGTTTCAATTAGCAAGCTATTATTGAACAGAAGCAAACAATATTAATCCTACCCCTTATTAGCATCCCCTCAAAATATCTCTTGTCACAGAGGTCATAAAATAAGGATAAAAAATCTCAAGGCAAACATACCTGCTTGGATTTTCTGTTGATCATCTGTGCTCATCAGCTTCCAGCTTTCTGTGTGACGAACAGCATAGAAAGACTGAACCAGGAAGATCCAGAGCTTATCACGCAGAGCCTGGATCTTGCACGTAAAACCCTGTGTTCAAGCAACAAATCAGCAGCTGGTGAGAGCCACATTGTCATAGCAACCAGTCATTATTCCTTTCCGAATCTACTTACTCCTAAGCTAGATCAATGATGTCATCACTTAGATTTTTTAAATCGTCGGGTACATGTTATTTATGAAGGCTTACTCTTCAAAAACAGAATTTTATAGTGAACATGAAGCTAAACCTTATCCTTTTAACCAAACATTATTTTAAATCACCAGTGGCCTTTACATGAATACCTTCTACAGCCTTTTCAAATCAACTATGACATTACAAGGTCAAAAACTCTATGTAACAGTAATAAATATGATGAAATTTTTTATCTTTCTTGTTGAACAAATACAAAATGTCAATAATTTGCAATAAGCTTACTAACACTGATTAAGTATATTTAAAAATAAGTAATATCTTAATTTTGCTTTTTCTTAGTCAATCCAATTTTAAATATGATTTTTTCCTGAAGACAAAAAGGAATTAAGAATATATTATTAAAAAAATACTGATTATTAAAAATTCTAAAAAATTATTTAAAATTTTAAGTTTATATGTAGGACATTTAATATAGTGACAGGGGAGAAATACTAGAGTTACACTGTACCAATTAATATTGTTAAGTTCCAAACTATGTTTAGAATTAGTGAGTCAAACTGCCAAATTCTGAACTTTGGCAGTAAGTCTGTTTAGAGGTAAATGAAATTAAAAAATTTTTATTTTATGAAAAATTCCAAACAGACACAAGGGTAGGGACTATAACCAACCCCCCATCACCTAGTTTCAAGGAACCATGCGACATTTAAAATGTGCATATATTTTAAAATCTTAAAACAATTCAAATATTATATCATTTAAATAAATTTCATCACTTTCAATACCATTTCCTTTGTAATGTCAGAGTTCAGTAACGTGTCCAGAGCCATAAGAAGAGAGCAACTATTCTCAGTGGTAATGTTTTCTTCAATTGCTTTTAAAATTTTGTCCAATAGATCAGCTGTGCTGCTCATTGCTTGTGACTACAAAACAGAGAAATTTATATTTAATAAGAATACATGTAAAATGTGTAAGAAATGTGAAAGTCAGGCTTAACAGACCATTTATCATAACTGGCCATATGAAGTCAACCAGAAATCTTATCCCCTGTTAATAATATAATAATTATTATAATTACATAGTTACAATAATAACCATTATTATAAAAATCCCTGTCCTTTAAAAAAATATCTGCACACAACACACACACACACACACACACACACACACACACTGTTCCTAGGAGGCAAAATAGTCCTAAAAACGGAACTAGAAATAAATAATCAAAGTTCTTTATTCAATAACTAAAATTTAGAACAAGTGGATCCCCAATAAGACCGAGAATTTTGCATGGACCATAACTGTATTACTGACAGAACAGTATCTTTATGACTGGTTTCTAAAATATGGCTTACGCTGATTGAGAGCTACTGTTGGCCAGAGTTCATTATGTCTTGCCAGTGCATTCATACCTGCCCCCTCCTGCCTTCATTATCTTGTGAGCCAAAAATCCTGTCCATCACTGCTCTAAATCCTATGCAAGCGTGCCATCTGCTATGGAATTTATTTAAGTCACACTAATTTAATCAAAGGCAACCTGCGTTTAAAAACTCTTACATAATGGTAATCAGAATACAAAGATGGGGCTAAATATAGGATATAATTTTAGACATAGTACCTGTAAGAGAAGAGCAAAATTTTCACTTTGAATGATCTTGGAGAAGTTTTCTATAATAAATGCAATACATTCTTCTTGCAGCTGAGATGCCATAGTCAGTGCTACTTCTGTCCACTTCACTCTGGGTAAACTGATGATTAGCCTGTCACTTTCCATCAGAAGAAAAGCAGCATTCTTATCATTCTTATAATTTTAAAAAAATTGGGAAAAAAGTTAATTACTATTCATAATATAACCTTCTAAGCAAATAAAATACTTTTTTCTTATGATGTTTCCTGCAAAAAAACCCCAAAATTCCAGGTAGCTAATATATTTGTCATTACTTATAATACTTATTTGTTCATTCAGAATTATCCAAAAGGGCAAAATCTGAGCTGGGAACAAACCACCTCTAAAAAACCTGAGAACAGAGGTATAATATAACTACAAAGAAAAACTTGACCTCTCTGAGATTTTCACTACTGAATTAGTTTTTGTGCTTATAGATATCATTCATAATTGTATGGCTACACTGATATAACCTTAATTCTTTTCTGACTATAAAATACATGTACTTTATTACAAATTTAGAAAAGTTAAAAATTACTTATATTCTCCAGTGATTTTCTTCCTCCTCTCTAATTAGGTAAGACTCTTTATATTTTATTCATTTAATGATGATTCATTTTTATACCACAGGAAAAAAATATTCATGAATACTGATCTCTATGGAAGGCAGAATGACAATTTACAAATACCATGTGCTGCAAGGGAAAGGAAAAAATGGCAACGTATACATTACTTTATCTTATTCATATTTGATTTCTAGTTCTTGAAACAATGCTTAGTAAATAACTGTTTAATGAGTAAACAGTTACCCAATAGATTGTAGCAGATTGAAAAACATGGCCACAAATTCTTTGTAGCTCCATCCATTGAGAGTTGGAATTTATTTACTCATCCCTCAAATCTAAACTGGCCTTTTCACTTGCTTACAGAAATAGTGGTACTGTGCAAGTTCCAGAGCCAAGGTCTCAAGAAGCCCTGCAGCTTCTGTCTTTATGCTTTTGTAATTCTGGGACCACAAAGCCACGAAGGAGCTAGGTAAGAAAGAGCACATAGAGTGGGAACCCAAGCTCCAACTCAGCCACCAGCTGAAAGCAGCTGCAGGACAGAACTCAGGAAGAATCAGTAGAAGAATAACCCGGTCAACCCACAAAATTATGAGAAATAATAAACTGTAGTTTTAAGTCACTTAGTTTTGGGATAGTCTGTTAAAGAGCAATAGATAACTGATAAATCTGGAAGTGACAGACTGAAATCCTTAACATAGGCTGCATGATGTAAATTTTGCACACCCTTTGTATGTTTCAGATCTCAACTCCAACTCTATCTTCCCTGATCTCTAGCCCTACATCAGATCCCTTTTATACATGCCATCAGAGAACCTGTCCCTTTTCTTTAGAGTACTTGATTCATTTGTAATTATTTGATCATGAACACAACTACTTGATTACTATCTGTCTCCCTCGCTAGGCTTTATGATTACTGAGCATGAAACCATGTCTGTTTTGGCTCACCACTATATCCCCAGGGCCTAGCATAGTAGACCCTCAAATATTTGTTCATTTCTTAGCATCATCAGAGGGTGAGAGTCTATATGTGAATTCCTAAGCTGAATTAAGTTTGATCCTTGAACAACAAAACTTTTAACATTTTACCCACTTACCAAGAATTCTTTTAAAATGTATTATATAGTTCCCTTACTTTATTAGAGTAAAAATATCATACATTGCTATAATTCCTTTTATTTTTTTATTTTTTTTGGTACCAAAACCCTTTCCTCCTCTGGTGACATCCTGAGTAACTGTGCTTTTAGGCAATAAGCCCAATTTGTTCTACTATAGGGACTGTTCTGGTGGTGAAGCCAAATGTAGGGTATTCAAATAAACTTGGCAGGTTATCTACAAAGTGCTTACTACACACATAATGTTATGTGCTGTGACAATTTTTTTAAAAAATACAGATATAAAGTATAGTAATAATTTATGTTGGAATCTGTTGGAAAACTAAATTTGGACATAAATGATAACATAGGTGGTATGTGATCTTATTCCAATACTGATCTGAAGACATAACATTAAATGTTAGAGTTCAAAGAAGATTGAGGTTCAAAGGAGGAAGAAAATGTAATACATTTCTAGACCAAACACATAAAATTTTAATCCAATAGTTAACATATGCTCCAAACTTCAACAATATATAAAGGGTAGTACTAAGCCACCCATTTTCCCTCCTTCCAATCAATATTATTTATTTTCTGTATCTTTCCAGAGTTATTTCATACATACACACACAAGAAATATATGTAATATTGCCTTTATTTTACTCAAATGGAGGCATTAATATGAATGATATTATATACTAGACCTTTATACTTAGAGTACAACTTAAATATTTTTCTTATCTGAATATAAAGAGCCTTGTTATTGTTTTAACAGCTACATAATAGCCCACAATATGGATAAGTCATTCAACCAACCCTCTACTTATATTTACATTGTTTCTGATTTTTTGCTGTTACAATGTTATAATGAAAGATCTTGTAAATAAAATTATTTCATACATATGGGAACATTTCTATAGGATAAATTCCTAGACACAGAATTGCTGGGTCATTACTACCTGTCTTAGCTTGGGTTCTGCTTAAAACCCGAGCCTGAGAAACAGGCTTGTATGCAGATTATTTATTTTGGGAAGTGATTCCAAGAGAATCTGAGGGCATTAGGGAAGTGAAACAGGGAAGGAGGGAAAGCCAATGGAAGGGTATGTTTTCTTTTCTTTTTTTTTTAAGGTTTATTCCATAAAACTTTTATTTCAAACTGATAGACACACACACACACAATGCATATGTGTGTATCAGATCACAATGTAAAATATATTTCTTACTGTGGGTTGAGGTTTTATTTATATTTTTTTCATATTTGATTTTATTTTTATTTTTATTTTTTTTAAAGATTTTTTAAATTTATTTATTGGAGAGAGATTGAGAGCCAGAGAGCACGAGAGGGAAGAGCGTCAGAGGGAGAAGCAGACTCCCTGCTGAGCAGGGAGCCCGATGTGGGACTTGATCCCGGGACTCCAGGATCATGACCTGAGCCGAAGGCAGTTGCTTAACCAACTGAGCCACCCAGGCGCCCTGATTTTATTTTTAAACAGATATATAATTTTACCAATACCTAAGTATCACATTTTTTTATTATGTTCATTTAGCCACTGTATAATACATCATTAGTTTTTTTTGTTCAAGTTTTTATTTAAATTCTAGTTAATTAACATTTAGTGTAATATTACTTTCAGGAGTAGAATTAGTTTTTGATGTAGTGTTCAATGATTCATTAGTTACCTATAACACCCAGTGCTCATCTAGCTCCTTACTACTCAGTGTGAGCCACACCATCTGCATCACCCAGAGCTTGTTAGAAACATAGAATCTCAGGCTCCACCTCTGACTTACTGAATTAGAATCTACATGTAACCAAGATCTTGAAGTGTTTTGTATATATATTAAAGTTTGACAAGCACTGATATAGCATTCACTATTATAGGCAACTGGGGCTCAATTTTGACAGGGACCCTTTGAAAAGCCACAGAGAATGCACTTTGATTTATTCTGCCCTAGGGACAAAACAGGGAAACATTTAACCACTGGCTCCCATCTCCCATTAATCAAGGCTTATCCCCTGGGATGTTAACTTCCTTCTACTCCCAGGTTTCCCTAGCTGTCAGAATTACTGAGTTGTAGGGACCTTGTGTAGAGTGATAGTGAAGCCTTATGACAGAAAGTGAGAAATATGTTTGATGTGGCCAAGGGAAAGTGCTGTTGGATCGCATACATATGCAGCTGGATCCTGCAGCAATGGCTAGAGTTCACACATTGGCCAAGAGGATATGAGGTGGGGCACCAGAAGTATCCTAAACATTGCCAATATATATTCAATGGAGGACTGTTTTCCAAACTGTAGATTTCTCTCCTAGCAACCTGGAGAAATATTTTTAGTGGCTTACAATCAGCATTAGAACACAAAACAGAGAGAAAAGAGAAAAATAGGAAATATCAGTACATCATGTAATAATGATAAGTACTCTTTTGTGAAAGTTGTTTCAGCTTTATATGTGTGAGTGTACTGGGTTACAGTGTAAAAAGAAATTCTTACTCTCAGTCACAGTCAAAAAAGGTTGAAAACAAAAAGCAAAAGTTATGCTAATTCTTTTTATTTTAAAAGATAAAAAAATTTTTTTTAAAGATTTTATTTATGTATTTTGACAGAGAGAGAGGGAGAGACAGTGAGAGAGAGAGCACAAGCAGGGGGAGTGGGAGAGGGAGAAGCAGGCTTCCCACTGAGCAGGGAGCCCACTGTGGGGCTCGATCCCAGGACCCTGGGACCATGACCTGAGCTGAAGGCAGACGCTTAACGACTGAGCCACCCAAGTGCCCCAAGATAAAAATGGTTTGATACTGTAATTTCCATGTCCATTTCTCTTAAATGAAGTTGATTTATTCAAATTAAGAGGTGTTTGTATCTTCTTTGTGATCTAATTTTGTCCTATTTTTAAAAATCAACTTGTAGAAATCCTATCTATATTAGGAAAATTAGAATCAAAAGTGTGATATGAACTGTCATTTGTCTTTGCTTATGGTCATTTTTACTACACAGAAATTTTGCATTTTTATGTAATCAGAATTCTTTAAGGCTTCTGAATTTTATATATCCACTCCCCTACCAAGGTTATAATTCTCCTAGGATTTATTGTAGTATTTTAACGGATTTTTTTTTTCACATTAAAACCTTTGATCCGGGGCACCTGGGTGGCTCAGTCGTTAAGCATCTGCCTTCGGCTCAGGTCATGATCCTGGGGTCCTGGGATCGAGCCCCACATCAGGCTCCCTGCTCAGCGGGAAGCCTGCTTCTCCCTCTCCCACTCCCCCTGCTTGTATTCCCTCTCTCGCTGTGTCTGTCAAATAAATAAATAAAATCTTTTTTAAAAAAAACACACAAAAAAACAAAAAAAAAACAAAACCTTTGATCTATTTGGAATAT